CCGTCAAATACGTTTTTTTTTTCGTCTAGGTGTGATGATTCCTGGTGTGAAGGTCCACAAAATCAAAAGTCCCGAAGAGCTGTTTAGTTTACTGGAACAAGGAAATAAGAGACGGACGCAACATCCGACCGATGCCAATGCCGAGAGTAGCAGATCGCATGCGGTGTTTCAGGTTTATATTCAAATGACCATTAAAGCCAACAGAGAGGTGAATTTTCATTGATGTAAATACTGGACAGTCGATTGATGCTAAATGTAACGCTTTAGATTAGAAGAGCTAAATTGAGCATGATTGACCTAGCTGGAAGTGAGCGGGGATCCGCGACTGGTTTCGTTGGAGCTCGCTTTAAGGAGGGTGCCAACATTAACAAGTCTCTGCTGGCCTTAGGGAATTGCATTAACAGTTTAGCGGATGGTCTTCGGCATGTTCCATACAGGTTCATTAATTCTTATTCTAGCATCCAGAGCTTTATTGATTCTGACTAATTTTTCAGAGACTCAAAATTGACACGGCTTTTAAAGGATAGTTTAGGCGGTAATTGTCACACTATTATGATAGCAAACGTGTCTCCATCCTCAATCCATTATGATGACACTTACAATACGCTCAAGTAAGTTAGATTGCTCATAAATTTCGTGCTCTAACTTGAAGCTTACCTGTAAAATTGTCTAGATATGCGACTCGTGCGAAAAACATCAAGTCGATTATTAAAAAAAATATTGTCAATGCCGAGCTGCATGCTGACAAGTATATAAAAATGGTTGACGATCTGCAATCTGAAAACGCCCAGCTCAAATCCGAATTGGCCACATTAAAGAAACAGTATGAAGAATTGCAAACCAAATTCACCCAAGTGTCTAATGGAGACATCTGTGCAGTGGATAATTGCAATTCGCAGGATGCAGGTCAAGAAAATATAGCTGCAGAACTTCTGCAGGGAAATCAAGAACTGAAGAAGCAAAATGCAGCCTTAGAAAATGTTATCGGAGGCTTGAGAACTTGTGAAGCTTCGACTCAGCAAATCGATCCCAAAGTTTTACAGAATTATCAGGCTTTGGTTCAAGAAAAGAAGGACTTGATGGATAGCGAATTTCAGTTGAGGTCTGGGGAATTAGTAATGTCGCTGAAAAGGTATGTAATTTGAAATGAATTTTTCCCATATTTTCACACGTTGCCATTATAAATCCACAGTAATTAACAATATTTTGTAATTATTTTCATATCAGAGAACTGAAGCAAGATACGCAAGAGAGGCTAAGCGTTTTTTACCTGGACACTCCCACGAAAGATGATAGACGTCGCAAGTTGATCGAACAAGTGCAAAGATCTGAGAAGAAAGAACAAACTACCAATGTCGCCCTTTGCCAGAATAGAAAGCTCCAGGATAAATCAGACGAGAATCTGCAAGAATGTCTTGACCGTAATCCCGAACTGGTCAAAATCCACGAGCTTTCGATATTGGAATTGGAGAAATTACGCCTTACATATGACGTATGTATTTTACCAAATTGCCGATTGAATTTTATTTAGATAAGTCTTTAATTGTAGCGAGACTTAGAGCAAAAGAGACACCGTGTTTTGCTGGATGACCACCACGACAAATGCCAACTTATTGCTCAAATGACCAATTTAATGAAGCAATTGTTTTTATCAGTTGGAGGCAGAGCAGATGCTCCTGTAGCAATTATAAGGAAGTACGAGGAACTAGTGGCTATTTTCGAAGGGAAGAAAAGTTTAACGTGGGGGGATGGAAAATCCGCAGACGAATTAGATTCTGGTGAGTCAAATAAGAATATATATTTTACATGTTTTAAATATGTGTAAAATGTCGAAAAAACTTGAAGGGGTTAAAAACGTGAATTAAAGTAGACAAACACGTGATCAAAAATGTGCTCTTTCTGGGTTTGGCGGTGTGCCTGTGCTTTTAAGTGAAAAAACCTATCAATCTACTTGATTCTAGGTCTAAGTTCAACAACGAGTGTAAATGAAAACGCCGAAGAACAGAACAGGGCAACGAAACGAAAAATCGAAAGCGAAACTCCAGTCCGCTTAGATTCTACATTTGTGTGCAATACTGGAGCATCATCAAGCACAACTGAAGTTCCCACTGTTTTGACTCCGATCAACACTCTGATGGTGGTTAAAGGTGGGGAGTATTTTGGTCAAGTAATAGTAGAAATATTGCATGGCTTGTTTCAAGGGGTAGGACGAGTAAATCACAAGTGCGATATATGAAGTAGTGGAGTTTGTTTTCCTTTCTTTTCTCATGAGTTTACTCAGCAAATTCATAGTCACACTCAGAGTTAATTATTAAAAGATAATACTTCGTTATAAACTTGATCACGTCTTTTTCTTCCGGTTACCGTCAATGAAATCATTTCTCTAAACCGCAATGAAGTGTTTTTGGTCGAGAATTTTTCAAACCCTGCTAAGCTAAATCCCGAACGGGAAAGTGAGTAATTGTAAACGTTACAAAGATGTCTCATATAAATTTTCTTTTGCCCATAGGAAGCAAAAGTCCGGCTGTTAAGCGACTGGCAACTGTTGCACCTCTGAAAAGTCGGTTTACGGTTCCCAAGCGGCCCTTGTTGACTGGGACCCAGAATCACATTTCCCCAAAAGGCAAGTTCATGCCCAAAGGTCGGGACGCTTATCGGTTTACCACAAAGGCATCCATCAGGCCTGACTCGAAGAGAGAATTGACCAACGTTAGGAAAGGTAAGCTAAATATAAAACAGTTGAAATAGCTTCAATTTATTAATTAGGACCATCCTGAATTTAAAAGTTCTGTTATAAATCTAGTTTTGTATGTATTAATGTACTAAACCTTAATAGTCTAAAGTCTATCAAATTATAGAAAAGGCGAAAATATTTACTGAGTTGAGGAAGTTTTTCTTCCGGAGTGAATCTAAGAAATTGATTTCGAATGTTTTATAGTGATGCCCCAACCGAGCAGCCGTCCCAAGTTCATGTAGTAAGTAGTCGATTTGTACAAAACTTCAATCTTGCCAGTGGGAACTGTGGACGTGTGTGACCTATTTTATATTTTTTGTTTGTATTTCTTTTTTTACATGTCTATTAAAATAAAATTTACTTGTGTATATAGGATTAAGATTTATAAAGACATATATTATATTACGCTTCAAAATAATACGGACATTTTAAGAGTGTTACTGATACCGTGCTGGCGCATGGACGATGAACGACACGTTATATAATACAGTTTATATTCTGGATATCAGATTAATATAAACGTTTGCATATATGTATATATGTAATTTGCGGGGTTTCAGAATATAATAGATGTTTTCGAGTTTAGGACTTGCTCATGTAAAAATGAGAACTAGATACATGTAGATATTTCGCTAAACTAATAAAATATTTAATAATCATTGAGTTTATTGTACACTTCAACTGCCTTTGTCACCAGTTGTTCGAACGAGCTGAAACGCGAATCGCTGTGCAGGCTCTGAAGTCTCGCTCGTATTACGGGCGTCAGCCGAGCTCTTTCTATAATCAGCAGGAGACCAACGGTGAAAATCGAAAACAGAAGAACGGAACCTAAACAAAATATTTGGTAATTTAGCATTCAAGAGCATACCGGAATTGGAACTAAAAATACGACTTCAATCGCTTTTCATTCGCTCGATTTTGGAAGTTAT